TGTACACCGGGTCTGAACCTGATGCTTGCAGCTCCGCTGCATGGAGCTCTGTCAAAACTGCTACTGTGGGTGCATTTTGCTCACAGCAGTGACAATGAGGGCCTGTAGCCAAGTGTTAGCTGTAGAGTATCTAGCACCATGTGTGTAGAAACTGTGTTATAATCATCCCTGCAGGAAAAATAGTAGGGTGCTCTGTCCAAAGCCCTTCCAGATCTAAATACACAGAGCATGCTTGAGCTGCTTATCTGTGTTCCACAGTTGGCCAAGCCCCAGTGGGATGAAGCAACTCACCCAAAGTCTCACAGAGTCTAAAGAAGAGGTAGGAAAAGAGCTGAGTTCCCCTTGGCAAGTGCCTTAATCACAAGGCTGCCTATTTAGCTTTTCAGCACTATTTTAACAAGCTGTGATCAAACAGTAGCCTGTCATGAGGGTAAGGCAGGCTTATGGTGCTGGGAGCAGGAGCTGTCTGCTGAGAGCTCCTTCCGTGCAGTTGCCAAGCCAATCAGTATTCTATGAAACAATTTATTTGGCTCTAGCTTCTCTATAACTGTGTAGAAAACCATGAAGGAGTGCCCTAGCTATCCTATGGAGAGAAAGAAATGGACTTAGGGATTTAGGTCCCCAGTAGGAACAGAAGTAATACATAGCTTGCGTGCTCCACAGCAAACAAGCATAATGTAGCTTTGTAGGTACCACCCTAAAGCACTCTTCTCAGTAGTGTTCAGAGCACTGCTTCCCGTAGTACAAGGCTAAAACAACTCATGACTTCACTTCTGTCTTCTCTGCTGCAGAGTTGTTGCCCGTTTCTGTAGCACAGAGTCTGTCTTGTTGCTATTTTCTAGATATGAAGATTGTGTAACAGGGAAATCCTCCTTTTCTCGTTCACCAATAAAATTTATTTGGGGAGTTTACATAATTTCCTGTGCAATGTGTCATTGCTTTACACTCACGCCAAATTAACTTAAAACCTCAGCTGTCGGGCTTTGTGCTCTTTTTGGACTCTTCCAAAAGAGCAATAGAATGTATAGAAAACGTAGAGTCACCCTGATGTCACTTGAGGTGCATCCTTCACATGAGCTGCTGTCTAGTTGATGCTTTTTTGTGTGCATCGGCTATTCTTTCCGCTAGATTTGGGATCTCTTTGCTGAGGTGGCTACAGCGCCTGCATTTTTACCTACTGTCACGTACCAGCCTCAGCACAAGCAGTCATGAGTGTGCAGTAACTTGTTTGGGACAAATCTTACTTGACAGCAAGCCTGTTGGCCCTGACTCGGGGAGTGTGCCTAAGAAGATAAGGAGAATATTTTCATGTTGTGTGCATGCTCCATTCGTGTCAGTCATGCAGCATGGAGTACCATGCGGCACTGATCCTATGCTTGTTTTTCAGGCATTACTGCCAGTAATTGGTGGGAGCATAAGGCTCAGGCCACCTGCAAAGCTGTGTTCTTCATCCCACCAACAGAGAGGAGCTGCAAAATTACATGAGGGAGGAGCAGGGAGAGCCTGGCAAGGTGAGTCCCCTTCCATTAAGGAATGAGTTCTGCAGCGAGCTCAGTGCAGAAACCGTGTACGGCTCCCTTAGATTTCAAGGGGCTTTGAGCCAAGCCCTTGCTGAAGCGTATTTACGTCCTTTCCTGCTTTGAAGCTTGGGGTAAGCATGACGAAAATAAGGCTGATAGAAACGCAGCCCTTGAGTCCACCATGCAGGACAGAGGCCTTCCTTCACCAGATAGTACGGAGAGGTGAGCTTCTGAATAGCGTTTTGTTAGAGGAAGAAAACGGAAAATGTTATTTCTTGAATCTTAACCCTCCCACCCCACCCCGTCCCTTGTAGGATTTTACACAAAAGAGCGCTGCTGTCCCATTCAAACCTCTCTGATGGGCAGCTTATTTTTTCGTTGTCTGTTACAGTGTTATTTACTGCCCCAAATCACGTCTGTGGTTAGAGTTGCTTGGCACTGTCTCTTGGAAAACAGTTACACTTAAGATTCTGCAAAGTAGAAAACCCCAGTAATACACCCCAAACTTTGCCGTTCCCTGGTAGATCTAACAATGGCCCTAAGGATGGTTTGGAAAGACACTTGTGTAATAAGCTGAAGATTGTGTCTGTGCACTCCCGGGGAGCATCTGCGTGAATTCTCCCACCCATGTTAGGCATAGTGCTCTGCTGACTGCGGAGGCCTTAGCTGGAGACAGCCGGAGAAGTTGTGACCGTGCTAGGAGGACAGGTACGCGTGCACACGGGGAGTTCAGTCCTCACTTCACAGGGCTAGAGATGATGTCTGCAGAGGTCCTCCAAAGTGTTTTCTTTCCTAGGGACTGTGCCTTCTTTGGCCTACCTTGCTTGCAAAGGTCTCTGGGGCCAATGAAGACCACATTTCAGAACGATCGATCGGTCGGGCAGTACTTACATTCTTAGGTTTTGATGTGTAGCAGATCTTACTTGGTACTTTTAACGATGAACGTAACACTTTATCCCTGATTAGCACAATCTGTGCTTAGTGCTACAACTCTTTGCTTTATGGCTGAGGGCCAAGACTTGTCACAGCCTCAGGGAAGTGATGTTAGGTGTGCTGTGACATTCAGGGATATATAGGCATATTTTTGCCAACTCAGCATCACGGTTTGACCCTTGGATCTCTGTGATCCATTCAAGAATGCTCCGGAGTTGCAGGACTGGGTTTCCAACAGCCTTGAAAGGCCTCAGATGACGGTATACAGCAGCTTTTGCTGAAGACTGGTGTGCAGCGTCCTCATCTTTCAGCTCCATCACAGTCTACCTAGCACACGCAGGAGGCGGTGAGATGAAGTTCTTTTGATTTTCCATTGCTTGCTTTTCCCCCCGCCCCGCTAACCTTTATCTCCATCTGGCTGCAAACTACTAGCCTTGGTCCTTAATGCTCGTTAAAGCTGCGAGGTCCTGCTTGTGGCGTTGCTGTTCCCCTAAGAGCGGGCTTGAAGTCGTTAAGGTTTTGAGGCTGCGGTACGAGTGTTAGTAAACGCTATTCTGAAACACACTAAATTACAGAGGAAGCTGGGAAGATCCTCGTGTTGTTCCCGTGGCTCGGGGGGAGGCTGCACTACACGTAAAGCGCCTCGAAAGGAGCGGCCGGCCGGCCGGCCCGCTTCCGCCTCGGCACGTGTCATGG